TTCATTGCTAACAATAAAAACAGATTATGCAACTAAATTATATGGTTTGCAACCTCTCCCCATATTTATTCACGTCTGGGATATTTCATCTAAATAGAACTTAATGGATAACTCCACCTCATGTGCATTTGAATTCTACTAGAGAACTTCTAGTGAAAGGAATTGAAAGAATTAGATTTAGACATACACATAACTCCATGTGCTACATGTAGAAAGCAACTATTGCTTGTACACTGATTTATCCAGCCCACATGACCAAAGCACATGTGCTAAGATATTCAAATTTATTTATTCAATATCAGCAGTATTTATGGTGTGTTTTTTTTAAGTTACAAAGAGATTTTAAAAATCCTAACGGTTACAAAGCATGTTCATTTTATCTAGTGCTCATCACTATACTATGAGATTCTTCAATGTTCGTGACACAAATCCTTTTCTCTCCCTCAGAACTCATTTTAGATTAAGCCATTAGATCTCACAGCTGCAGCTTAATGTAGGGATTTTAGGTCACATCAGAACTTACCCTTTTCCAAGAACAGTTTTAATCTTTGTGTAGTACTTGAATATGCTTCCTATAATTATGTATCAAGTGTTATTGCAGCTATATTTCAGATTTTACATACGTAAGAAAATGCTATATTATTTCAATACTGATGGTAGAATAAAAATCTATTCAAAATTCACCTTTCAGGAAGCACAATCAAATATCCAAGAACCCTATTAGACTTGCTCAGCAGAAAGTTTCAAACTGTTAATGGGCTTTAAATTGATGCCATAATGCTGCAATTTAAATACATGATGTTCATTAATTTTACTTGAACTCTTTGTAGAGAACTAGCAGCACGAAAGAGGGAGGAGGATTATATTTTCTATACCTGCTCCTTTTTAGCTGCTTGCCTCGATACACAAGAATTATTGCATACCTTGGAGCAGGTAGATGAAGTTTACTCAAAAGACAATAGGCTTAAATTTGCTAACCACTCTGGAGTTATATCACAGTAAAATTTCTATTAAAATATACCAGGAAGAAGACAAGAAGTAACACTATAGACATGGCATTTATTAAAGATGATGTCTCAGTTTCAGCTGGGACAGAACTGTTCCCTTCAGAGTGTCTGGTACCTTAATATGCTTTGGTTCGAGGAGTAAAAAAATATAAATAACACCGATTTTTATAGTTGCTGCTAAGCAGTGTTGTATAGAACAAAGGCCACTCCAGTTTCTCAGCAAAGGGCCAGGCAGAGGCCCAAGTAGCTGGGAGGGGACAGAATTAGGACAGCTGACTTAAACTGGCCAAAGGGATTCTCCATGCTGTATGAAATCATGCAGAAAGAGAGTTTTGAAGTGGGTGGGAGGTCATCTTCCTTCTACTGCTAAGGGGCTGGCTGAGCACTTGTCAGGGGATAGCGAGCAACTGGCTGTGCAGCACATGTTCTATGCAGATAGAGAGAGAGAGAGAGAGAGTCATAGCTATTATCACTTTCCTTTTCTCTATCTTAGTAAATAGTATGCATCTCAACCCAAGAGTTCTACTTTGTGTTTTTGGTTTTTTGTTGTTTTTGTTTCCTGATTCTCTTCCTCATTCCACTGGGAAGAGGGGAAGTGAGCAAATGACTGTGTGGTGCTGAGCCACCTACAGGGTTAAACCACAAAAAATAGATTTAATCATTTCAGAACCAATCACCAAAATTCAAAAGGGTGAAAGAGACAAAACAAGGGACAGAAAAGATAGTAAAGGTCATCTTACCCATATACATCCTTTTAACTTAAGGTCAAAATTCATGTACTGGAATGAGAGAGCAACACTGCATATCAGGCAGCCATCCTCTCAAATCTCAAAGAATTCTCTCGAATGGGGGCATTGAAAAGGGAGAAAAGATCTCATCGTGGAGGGCTAAACTAAAGAACCCTTTGTACTTAAGGAGAGGAAAGAGACTAGACATAAGCTGTCTATGAGGAATCATTTCAGAAATATCTCAAAATCCAAACTTAAATGTGTCTAGACATAATAGGCCGGTATAGTACAACACTTCACATCTATTTATACTTCAGATATACTATGTTTACTGTACATAAACTCCATTTTCCTAAAGCTGTTGCTATAGATACAAATCAAGGGAACCATAGCAACAATATTGTATTATGCACAGCCTTAATTAGGGATTAAGTTATGTCTCTCTTCACAGTTTATATTAAATATTTCTGTATAATCCAGTTATAGTAATCTTAAAATGTTATTAGAATTTTTTATAACAAAAATTTCATACAATTATACTGTCAAGTCAAATACACAGCATACTTGAAATGTGTCCTTACCACATTATTCTGATCATAACTAATAATATACATGTTGCTTGCTTTCACTTGAGGTGCAAATGTTCGTATTACCACGTTTTCAGAGCTTGTTTAATACAAGGCAATGACCTCCTTAGCCCTAACCACCAAGAAACTGATGAGCTATCATCTTATAAGGTTTCCAATCTCATCCCATTCAGCCTTATCCCGAAAGAAGTAAACTTCTCCTAACTTTGTCTTCTTTTTCCCAGGGGTTAAAGGTGATTGTTACACTTTTTTTTTTCCTTTTTCCTCAGAGAATAATTATATGAGGTAGGACTGGGAAAGGAATAATAGAAATTGACTGGGCTGGTGCTCAGTACTTTATTTGCTCTGTTTTGTTGACTAAGTGCATGTACCATTTTAGAACACTGAGAAGTTGAGGTGTTGCATGCAGCCAGGCATGCTGCCACAGAGTGAAGCCTGAGAGGAACAGGTAAAGGAGAACAGAGAAACAGTAAAGAAAGAAAAAGGATGTTGGAATTGGCTGAGGAACAGCAGGCAGCATTATCAGACAGCAGGATACATGTAGGACCTGGTGGGGTGGTGGGCTTCAAAGGACACCCTAGAAGAATATCAACACATGCAATGAGTGTGCACAGATTCTTTCAACAAGAAAGAAAAGGTAATTCATATTCTTAACATTATTTTCTCTGTTATCTTCCCTTCTACTGTGCAATTTTCTAATAACACATTATGCTAGAGTTCCCCCACCTTTTGGTCCTTGCCTACCGATGAGATGGCATGAGTCCTTTTTTATAAAAAACTTGGCTACATTTGCTTTGGGCACTAGCAGCACTCATAGAATGAACCTCTACCTTGTCTTACATAATCTAGCAGCACAAAAGGCCAGAAAAGGATATATTAATCCAATGAAATGAACAGAAATTGAATGTATTTTGAACTTAAAGAAATGAGAAGTATGCATCCAATCTGAACAACTGAGAATTTCTGGCGATCTTAATAAAAATATTATACAAATGCATATTTACATCCTTCTATAAAGCAATCTACGTTATAAAAATTGTAGTCCCAGAAAAGGTCTGAGCACAAGTTAGGAACATGAGATGCATAAAATCTTTTCACATGGGCAGCATGATAAAACTTTCCCCACACAGGGAATAATTAAGACAGAAGATAGTGCATTCACAATTAGTAGGGCATGTTCCGTTTCTTCATTATCATTTTAATTAGAAAATATTAACGTAATCTACAAATACAAGGGGGAAAACAACTAAAATTACTGAGTTTAAGGGGCCCTTCAAGACCTAAGCTAAATTGAGACAAATGTCTTACTAATCAATACTGGACACCAAATTTCAAGACATTCATTTCCATTTAACATCAGAACTTCCAAGAGTATGATCAAATTTAAGAATGAATTAAGGCTCCCACAAGATATAAGTAACCTCTGATGAAGGCAATGGTGAATAAAAATGGATTAGATGCTCCTCTCCTCTCCAGTTATCAGTTCAGACTGATAGTGATCAATTGGCCCTGGCAGCTCTATCTCATTCAGATTCCACACCTGCAGCCGTGACAATCACATAACACAGCAGCACACTGAACTGCCCTCTCATTTCAAGTGGGTACCGGGTGCTTTCATATTTGAGATATGCTGGATGAGGCCTTACCCTCTTTGAACTCAGCAGCAGAGCTCCCATTCACTTCACTGAGACTAGGATTCTCTCTGACTCAAACAAATTTCCTGTCTGGCACTTGTCCTTTTTCTGCTCTGTAGATAAAGTATTTTGTCATCCAATGTGCTCAAAGCTGCATCTTATGCAGATGACAATTAGAAGCCACCTCCTAAAGACAACAGTTCTTCCTCATTCTGATTTTCATTTTTAATATACAAACAGCAAGATAATAAATAATTTGTCCAATGTACTTGTAGGATTGAATATCATGAAGTAGTAAAGTATTATAAACAATCATAAGTAGTACAAAAACAGAGGGGAGAAAATTTTCCAGAAAAAGCACCAGCACCACAGGAAACTAGTAATATTATTAGGTATTTTTGCCAACTAGGATAGTTCAAAGCTGAAGTCCCTCTAAAATACCCTTTTATCAAACCCTTAAGTAAGTATTTTGCAAGGCAGCTACAGGTCAAGACACTTCAGAAATATGGACGAGAGATAGCAAGTTTTAAATAGCAAATTTCAGAAAAATCCAGTACATCTTTAGCTCTGCCCTTTTCTACGCTCAGAAATGTTAATTTCACAAATCATTCTCTTTTCTTCTTTTATGCACACAGGAACATAGATGAACTACTTCTTTCTTTGGTGTTTTAAGAAAAAATCTTTTCTTTTGTTTTTAGGTTTTCTATTAAAAATGTGCAGGAAAAGTTCATGCATATGGACCCAAGTCTTGGAAATTCATTAGAAAACTTCTCTTTCTTGTGTAAAGGCCAGTCTTAATCATATTCAAGCACAATTTTTGAGGCCAGATCACTTTTTTTTATCCACTTCAGATATTGCAAAAATTCAAATCGTTCAGCAGTCATTTAAATGGTAGCACAGTTTTAACAGACACTTGGCTCAGAAACACTGCCAACTGTTTTTGTTTGTTTTTTTTTTTTTCCACTGGGCAGTGGAAAGCAGTAATATGGGATCAAAGAGAGATCAACTGGTTCACTTTGCTGCTTTTTTAATACCAAGACTTACCTCTTGTGTTTTCACATTTACGTATCCATAGTGAGTTCTCAGAAGCTGCTTTTGGCCATTAGAAAATGGTATCCACTTGACACTGGTTTGTCCAAAGCAGTTTAGAATCAAAGGGAAAGTGACTTCATTTGTGAGACGAACGATGATCAGACAGAGGAATGCTGCAATGAAACTCACAGCAACAACAGACTTTCTCTGCAATGAAAACAAAATAAATTATTAAAATAAGACTTATTTTTAATTTACAAAAAAAGTATCTCCTATTGGATGATAGGGAAAAAATCCTATAGAAAACTTTGTGCAAAATTATTTTGTATGACTGTCACCTTGCTACAGGAGCACAAAGAGACAGGTGTACTGGGTCATTTTGCTTCAATGAATACACAAAGTGAAAACACCATTTGTACCCATATCACATAAAGCTTATTTGGAAGGGAAAGATCTCTGCAGGTTTTGTTCTTGTGCAGAAGAATTTACACTCTAACCTTAAATATTTTAAAACAAATGGTTGGTTAAGTTAGCACAATATTCTGTTTATTACAGGGTCACAGATTTACAAAGGAAGGCATTGGTATCTTGGACAAGATGCTCTTTGTTGTTAATAATATAACAGATCTGAAGTCTGTATCTTAATTAACCTCTGCTTTCCACCTTTAACCTATTCAGCTGGTTGGACTAGTTAATGCAAGGATATAACACATTAAAAACAACAAAAAACACACAAACTTTTTTCCCTGGGTAAATCTTCAGTCTGCTGGAGAAGGAAGAAAGCTAAAAATGAAGGAAAATTTTACTGTTTAAAATACTGCAACCAATTATTTTTCTTAGCTACTGAAAAAAAAACCAAGGATCACAGCACACAAAATATGAAGGGATATTAGCAAAATAATACGTTGCAGTGGATGTCAACAGCATGGCTCTACCTATTTTGAAGTGTTAGGAGGCTTCAATTAGTACAAAAGAAGAAAAAAAGGACTGAGAAAGGAAACCTGGATGAATGAGGTCACTGCAAGGAGAAAAGGAAGAGGATGATGAAGGGCAGTGCCCTGGCAATGGGAATCAGTGAGGAATCTGAGTCAGCTAATGTCTGTTTAATGTGAAATTAAACCCAGCAAATCTTCAGAGGTCACTGTAACTACCACAACCCAATCATGGCTCTCAGCATCCACAGAAGACACTGCACTTTTCATCAGCTGCATTACAACAGATTTATATTAAATTGCAATAAACTGGCTAGGGAGCACTTCTGTGTCACTTCTCTTTGTGCCAGATGGAGACAGAAACATTTAGCTATATATCAGGGCCTCGTAAGTGTTAAGAGCAGCTGATACGTGAAGCATAAGTGATAATCATAAAGCAGCAAAAAAGCATAGATTAATCATATTATTTATTGCAAGTATTAAAAAGGGAATCTAGATACTTATTCCACTACAATGAGATGCTTCAATCAAAATCTCCACAATAGGAAGAAGTGATACTGCCCTATAGGATGCCACTGATTTCCACATATTCTATGCTTTTGGTTTGTCAAATGCCATTCTTTACTTATTTTGTGCAGATATGTTCCAAACTTGAAAACATTGCAATCAGCTCTGTGTGCTTCATGGAAGCAGCTTTTCTCAATAACCTCTGCTCCAAGAAGAATGCAGGTGGGGTATCTAAACCTTTTGGCCTTCATTAGGATGCCATGTGGTTTTTATATTCCTTCTCTTTGAATACACTGCAACAGGGAAGAGGGAAACTACAGATTTCTTTAGTTTTGTTATAAGAAAATGTTGTTCAAAGAAAAAAAAAAAAAAATTGCAAAGAAAGTTCTATAGGGTGCTTAGCCACAAAGAACCTGCAGTAACCAGAACTGCATAATGAAAAGAATGGATTTGTTTTTGCAACAGACAGAAATCAAGGCATGTCTTTCAATGGTTTTAAAGAAATCTATCTTGGCGTATGTGAACAGAACGCCTGCTCAACAACTTGTACAAAGGGCAACTGTGTTCAGGAGCCACTTCCACTGCAATTTTTATGGAAGGCAAGAGATCAAGCAAGATGCATTCTCCAAAGGAAAGATTATTACAAGTCAGAATTTCACTGACTTTGTAAATTTCACAGTAAAAATATTAAAATACAAACAAGCATCTACTTAAAGATCAAGAAAGGCAGCCTGCTCTCTGGCCAAGTCTGCTAAAGGGCACCTCCTTAAAACATTGGTTCCCCTTAAGTTCCTCCCTCTTTTATGTGCTGAAGGAAAAATAAAAGAAATAAATCAGCATTATTTGTCAGGAAGCACTTCAGTAAGATCTCCCTTCCTGCAGATAAATGCATTCTTTTTCCAGATGACTGTCAGAGATTCCAGGAATTGTGCTAGATGTTCAGACACAACAGAGACGTGTGTGGATGTATATCAGCCTCTAATCCATCTCCAACTTTTCCCTAACACTGAAATATCTTAATATCTTAAAATCATAAATCTCAATCTTTATGATTTTCTAATTCAATATAGATGTCCTTGTGTTGCTAATATTGTAATTAAAATGTATATTTAGTCATAAGCATTTTTGAGACATATTCAGTGATGAATAAACTAAGAAATTTTTAATCAGATGGATCACTGATGACTCACAGTATAGTAGTTTTTACAGCATTCTCTTTCATTCACTAAAGTTACATACTGGACCAGTATAGATGACGGTTGCAAGAATTAAAAATACCTATGAATAGAGAATCCTTTTGGAATAGCGGTGGGTTTTGTTACTTAATTATACTGAGTCAAAGTAGATAGACATTAAAGTGTGTTCTGATCTAAAGTGCACCTGTGCAGTACAATACCTGGGACCCCACTGGGTAGAAAACAACATTAGAGTTATTTCTTTTCAACTCTTTCTGTTCAATATCCGCAATAATAGAAACCCTGTTTCAGTTCTGGTTTTTTCTTTAGACACCAGGCTAACTGTCAAGAGCGTATATCAAAATCAATAAGAAATAGGCATGATTCGCTCTTCTAAAGCTTGAACTTACATATTTTTCAAGAAATGAATTAAAAACAGGGCTGCCATTCTGGTTAGGATTTCATGAAAATTTGGTGGTAATTATCACCAATACTTTCCTGTGTACGTGTGTATATATATATATATATTATATTATATATGTACATATATTGGTAACATGGTTCCTATCACTATTTTATAACCTTCACATCTGTTTTTGACTATTTACCAGTGCAGGGGAGATTCATTAACTTCAGTTTGGCAAGAAATTTACAGCTGAGCAAGTCTGTCATTTTTCTTTCTTAATCTTTTAAGAAGCACAGAGAAGACAAGGCCATTTTTTATAGTTCAATAATATCTGATGGAAGAATGAGACAATTTTTTGTGTTGTATACAGTTGCGTAGCAGGGAGGAAGAAGGGAAGTATTTGCAGGATAAGCAGAGAATTTTCTCAAGTTGTAAATTTTACAGAGGTATCTAGTAAAATCTTTATTATGATTTCTAGACCAACAGCAATACTCTGCCATTTCTAACATATAACATGGCAAAGATTGTCAAAACACAAACAGTAATAAACCCTCATCTTAGTGAGATAAACAGCTAAAAACAAAGCGAAACAAACAAAAAAAACCAACACTTCCTTACGATCACAAAGAAATCACAGAATCTATTCCTAAACTTTCAATCCAGAAAACGTTACCTCTCTGGATTGTTATTTCTATTATTTCTGCCTGAATTTATCACATGCCAGAGCAGAATATAGCAGTAAAGAAGCACTGGAACTGCTAAGGCTCTGTTCTAAAACAGTAATTGAATATAAATATTTTTTCCAGCAATTGATTTTTTTAAAGCATTCATTTCTTTAGTTCTCTTCATGGATACATAATGACACTGTGCTTGGAAGGACAAATGAAAGGTAAAGAGTTACACAAGGGTTTTATGTATCTTAGGTGACAATATGTAGTAAAAATTACAGGTATGTTGAATAACTCAGTCACTTCTTTAATATCTCCACACATCCAACTACCACTATTGTAGGACTGATGCAGGGTTTCAGACTTTTTATTCAAGCGTGATACCAATTGAAAACAATAATGGCTACACTTACTGAATTTGTTTCATTTTGTAGACCACTATATGGAAAAACTAGTTTTATTTAATTTTCTCTTTTATAGTCTTCAGCATCTTCTTCAAGTACTGCTTTCTTTTACAGCAGAGCATAAAATGGAATTCTTTCAACACACCACTTCAGAATGCCTTATGATTTCACCAGTACTGAAATAAATACACCTTCCAGCTATTCCTTTAGTCCAAACCACCCTTTAACAGGACTGCTGGAGGGATGCTCAGGCAGGGGGCCTGAAACTTTTCAGAGAGGCATAAGACTATACAGTAAAGATCCTTTTGGAAAGAGACATGTATCCAACACTATTTGCATAAAATCGGTAGCTGAGGATTTACTTTTCTCTCCTCCAGAAGTGAAAGTTAATATGAATAGGTTCAAAGGCTTCACTGGAGAGAGCTGTCAATGTTTTCTCTCTCAGGAGCAGAGAGCTGAGCAGGTAGGGGGTTATGTGAGAAAGATATTTTGAGTTCAAAAAAGGGTAAAATTAAAATTAAAGATTTTTTTTTTTTTTTCTGGAAAAGGGGACCTTTACTGAACTGAAATTTAAGTAGCCAGAAAACAGTGTGAGTGTCTGAATTAATCTTTGAAACTAACATTTAGACAAAGAAGTAAAAGCCTTTACATGGCATACAACCCTTCAAGGCAGCAAACTTCTGAGAAACTGGAAAAATGTAAAAGAGTTTGCATTTGCTCGACAGTTGCATCATGGTTCAATCTATCTGATGAGCTAATTTTCCAGTACATAAGCAGTATGCTATCCACTGGACATACAGTAAAATCATTTCTAGGATACTTTTATTTGGGTTTGTTTCTGGATAAAGGTATGAGGAACTCATCAAGATACTTTTTATAGTATATATTATCACAGCTTTGTAGCATAGATCTTTCCATGTAGGATGCTGATCAACTGTGTTAAACACCATACACACAAAGGCAGGGTCAAGTTTATGATCCAAGAGAAAAATGGTAGTGAGGCCCACATTCTACACATCTCATTTCTACGAGGAGCTGCACTGAAGAGTGCAGTAGCTATATTAACCTGGACAGGCAAATAGCCCGTACATTTTAGGCAGAGATTCCCATTTTAA